TTGTAGAAAAGTGCGCAAAGCTTAACGTGTGCACTTACCATAGTATTTGGATTTAGAGTTTTCCAAGCATCTGTTTGCGGATACCCGGAAGTACTGGGCCAAACGGGAGAGGCAAGCTCCAATACAACCCTCAAGGTGAAGGGAGCGATGCTTTCAGAGTGTGTCGACAGAGACACACTAAATGAGTGGAGCCCAAGGTACCGGGGTCTAAACCAACTGAGCTTTTTCCCTTGGAAAAAACGCTCGCAGTGCACGCCGATTGCCCCCTCGGAGGCATCGCGTGCGTGCTCTTCGCCCAAACAAATAACGCATAGATTGTGATGTTAAACACGGATGCACACATCCTTAAACACTTTGCTAGTGCTCGCCATAATGAGATAAATAGAGATCGCTCTTACCACAGAAATGCACTCTTCAAACAAAACAGTCAATGAAGACGAAGAAGAGAATGATGTGTGCTCCCGGCGCCTATTTATACTATATTCGCACCGGTAGTGACGTCATGGCTGTCGCCAGCCAACAAGTTGGTGTTTTTTCAATGTTCAGACACGGGTCACGACGAGGCGTTCCCCTTAGCGACCCCTAGAGGACGCAGTTCGAAGTTCCCATGAAAGGGAAATATATTTTTAAGAAGGTTAGTAACCAAGCAGTTGACAGTAGCCACTGATTTCAGTAGCATGGAAAACATACTATGGAAGTCAATGGCTACCGTCAACTGTTTGGTTCCCAACATTCTTCAAAATATCTCCATTTGTGTTCTTTTCATTGTGAAATGAGTAACAGTACTGCCAGGCTGCTGTTAAGTCTGATATGGACAGTTCTGTCCCTCAATAACAGCATCTTACATTTTTACAGATTCCACTCAACCACTCAAACTCTTGAGACATCAGAGATCTTGTTCAAATAAACCTCAGTCATTTGTTTCCAGTGTGTTTCTAACTTCAAGCACTGCACAGCCAGAAACAGCAAATAGTTTGATGTCAAGAATCTGCAGAAGTTCATAGAGAGTAATTTTGTGCAGCTTAGTTTTAATAAATGCCCTTTTTACTATTTGCATTTTATGCATTTTGTAGAAGCTTTTACACAAAATGACTCGAATCGCACTCAGGATCTTGACATCCAGGAGTTCTAGCATTCCTTCAGAATCAAACCCATGACCTTGGCATTGCGAGCGTCGTTCTCTTTTATTTCAGAATTATTGTGTTCCAGTAGATCAACAGAATTTTGGTTTTCTTTAGCGTGAACCTTTTAAGTGTATGCCAATGCCATGCAAGCTAAAGTGCAAAACTAGTTTGTTCAGATCAACCCTAAGTATGAGAAAAAAGTAAGAGCAAGTCTACCAAACACCAATAATAACATGAACAGTTTAGTTTTTGGTACTTCTGCTGTGCCCAGTGTTTAATGCATATCCTCATTTGCCCTCCTCTGATGAAGACTGTTTTCATCCATTATGTAAGTGTAGCTCTCTCATTCTGCATGTCTCCTCAGCCTCTGCTGCTCCAAACCACTCTGGAACGACTCCGATATCACAAAGAACAAGGTAGGCCATGGAAAATTTCATTCTGAGCCACAGAACAGAGGTGTTGTCAGAACACAGGAAGGATTTTTTTATGATTACTGCATTAATTCTGCTGTGTTCTTATTTGTTGTTCTTCTTTTGACTTTGTGTGTCAGATATCAGCGAGTCCGTGGATGACAACAGCATGATGTTGAAGGCCTAATATACAGCAGTATGTCAGGTAATGTAAAAAAAAAAAAAACATTTTTAAATTGCAACACTTCACCTGTATTGTCTGCATAGGCAGCTCCCTTCTAAGGCAGAATCCCATCAATTTTTATTTGTCTTTATCCATCCATAAAAAATGTATCCATGTTTTAAAAGAGAAAGGAATGATTGGCATCTTGTTAGTTTCTCTGTTCTGTTTCATATGAGTAAAGCATGTTCCAGGTTAGTTTGTTCCAGAACATTCATTCTGAGTCGTTGTGCAGTGTTGACAGATTTGTTATCGTGTTGCTGCAGTAAAGTAATACAGGATCGGTACAGTTAATCATTTGGCCTGCAGTTGCCCTATTCAAAATAAGTATATTAATGTACATTTGAATCAAAATCAATATTGGGAAATACATTTGGGGAAATAATCAACTATTGTAACAAATATTAAAACAAATATTATTATCGTAGTCATGCAGCAATATGAGAAGCACACAAAAAAGGAAAAAAGAGTCAACTATTAATTACATGTATTTTTGAATGAAATGTTTTTCACGAAGTGTAAATGTGACGTTCCTTTATAATTTAGGAGTGCTCATATAATGCCTAGATTGGCTGCTCAGATCAGTGTAGCTTTATGAACAGAGCTATTATCAGTATTATATCAGCTTATGGTGGAGGTAACACTTTAGATTAGGATACACATATTTACTATTAACTATTAAAGAGTTTTTCCTCAAACTCCTAATTTGCTGCTTATCGAGAGTAAGTAAGGTAGTTGTTGAAGTAGTTATGTTTAAGCATTGTGTAAGGGATCTAGAATATGGTCATGCAGAATTAGGCTTTAATATGTGCTTTATAAGTACTAATAAACGGCCAAAATGCTAGTCATATGCATGCTAATCTAAAGTGCTTTCCTTATGTCTGTTGTATCTAGTTGAAGTCTAATAATAAAAGAGAGAATTATTCATTGAAAACATTTCAGCAATATCTGACATTACTTTGACCCAGTTCCTACCTGTGTGTTATCTAAAGTGTGAATGAGTGAGTTCCGTCATCACAGAGTTTTCTGTGTGTTTAGCAGTGCTTAGATTGTGATCTCTGAACTGAATCATGTCTGACTTTCAGTGTCCTAAATGCTTTATCTTTTGCATTTTCTTAAAAAGAGATTCAGCACTGAAGGCATTGCCTCAGATGGCACGTTCACTCAGACACAGAGGCTGCATTCGAAACCGCATACTTCCCTACTATATAGAAGGCGAAAATCAGTAGGTGAACGAACAAGTATGTCCAAATCCTTAGTATTCGTGAAAGAGTAGGCGAGAATTACCTGCATGGTATACTAATTCTCATGAGATTCGGATGAGCGTATACTTGTGTTGCGTCCGAATATGCCTACGTACCTACTACATACATAGTAGGAGAAAAGAGTACGTGAAGAGAGTAGTATGTCCGAAACCACAGTATTCATAAAGGAGTAGGCGGGAAATCCCCAGATGTCCTAATGCTTCACTGAAGTGCTCATCGATGGACACTTTTCTATCCCAGAAGCCCACGGGAGAGGATACGTCATCATCGAACAGAGCGGAGAACAGCGACGCGGGTGTTTACAAATGTGAGTATTATAAACCAAAACACGGTCCCCTGTGTTAAAATCACATTTGTTGAACTACTCTAGAGTAAACTGTTGAATTGCTGAAGATGTAAAGATGCTAAATAGTATAATATATTTGTGATTTTGCTGTAAAAACACGTTTTATTATGTCAAGTCAAGTCAAGTCACTTCTCTAACCTTTTTCAATTTGATGCGGGCAACAGCTTCTAATGTATTAGAGAAGATAGTGCCCATGTTGCTAGTTATTTCGTCTAGTTCATGTGTACTTATTGGTACACAGAGCAGTTGAGATAAAAATTATGTATAGCGAACAGGGGAGCTCCAGTGAGCACACTTACATCTCCAAAGTGGATTTACATAAACCATATACATGTTAAATATGTCTATTTAACATCTGACAGGAAATTGTTCTAAAAGAATTGCAGATTAGCACATCTAATAGACATGAAATAGACATCTGAGTGATGTATGTGTGCTATTATAGTAGAATTCACTTTTGTCAACACTGGAATGTAAGTAAAGTAAATAAACAAATCTACATAAAGTAACTAAACATAAGTTATCTATTTCATTTGTCCATTAGTACTACTGATAAATTGAGGAGCGTTTGTGTTGGATAAAAGCGAGTGAACACATCAGCAGCTACCTCAACATGTAAATGCAGATAAATCACAGAGGTGACTTGACTCTTGTCTGGATGTTACAGGGACAGAGACACGTGTGTTTATCAGGTGCAGAGTTACTGATGAAGGAATGCTGCCATCAAAGGCTCAGTGAGTACACTACAGAAATGAATAAAAGATCTTTTTAAATCTTAAGTTGTAGTTTATTTGAATTATTGCAATTTCAAACAGAGCTATTACAGCACTTTTCTGATTCTTGATTTCTGTGCATTTGCTGCAGAGCTTTTGCGGCGGCATTTGTGGGGGAAAAAAAAGGGAAAACCTGAATCAAAAATATAAAGTAAGATCATTTTGTTACTTCTAATACAGAAATCAAATGGCATTGTGCTGTTAAAATTATTGCTTTTGTATTGTGGTTGTGCATCTTTGCAGGATCTGAAATGTCTGCAGACTGGTGTGAGTAGTGAGGATGGAGAAGTCCACAGCAGCATCCTGAAAATGGTCCAGTGCCATGAATGAGACGCTCCATCACTCCACCTCTTACTGCCTCATCAGGACCGGATGTTGCAGTGGTCTCTTCATCCTCAGTGACCCCAGAGCCAGCGAGAACATCTAGAGAAAGACTAAAAGACATTGAGGATGTTAGTTTGGTCAAGTTTGTTCTGCTGGTTTCTGTTTATACAACATCAGTCAATGGAGCTCGAGTTTCAGAAGCTTCAAAAGAATCATCAAATAATGTCATGAAGCTTCTGAAAGTCAGTCTCCATTGAGCTCTTATTACAGAAACAGAGCTCTTATTACAGGGACCTCAATCCCCCTGCAGCAACCTGGAGTAAAGAGCCTTGCTGAAGGACACACTGGTGACGAACCAGCAACCTGCTTACCAGCTCAGTGCTTTAGCCCACTACACCACAAAAGTAATGAAGCTATTAGGGCTGTCAAAATTTTTTTCGAATTTCGAATATTCGTCGAATTGAAAATAAAAATCCACATTTGAATGCAAAAACGTTGTATTAGAATTTTAGGTGTGCGTCAGACAGCCTTATTAGTGGCGCACGAGATGCGATGACGATGTAAGTATCGTTGCATTTTAATGCTTTTGAAGTTGAAGCCACTAGATGCGGCGCTGCTGCATTGTTCATTAAAAATATTGCAGAAAAAGAGAAAAACCAATGCGGGGAAGATGTTGTTTACGTCAAAACTGAAACCAAGCCGTTCACGCAGAACGCATATTTCGCGCATTTTACATTTACATTTACATTTAGTCATTTAGCAGACGCTTTCAAAAATGTTGCATTCAAATTTTAGGTGTGTTAAAGCAGCCTTATTAGTGGAGCACGAGATGCGGTTGCATTTTAATGTTTTTGTTAGCCCATCCAGTTGCACCCACTAGATGTGGCACTGCTGCACTGTTCATTCAAAACATTGCAGAAAAAGAGAACATCAATGCGGAGAAGATCTAGTTTACGTCAAAACTGAAACCAAGCCATTCACACATAATGCATATTTTGTGCATTTTCTAGAGGGACATCTATCACCATTGCACTCGCATCTCGCACAAGAGAGCTGCATGTTTAGAAAGCCATGTAAAATTAATGCAAGATCAACTTTTAAAAAAACATGTCTACAGACTTTATGCCAGTTTTTCCCCATCCTACGGCAGCTCAAGTTTTTAAATGAAAGTATTTCTTGTGATTGGTTTTCTGTCCTTGGTATTAAACTATTCATACATACATGATGCTGTTTTGTTTATAGTTGTTTAAGCAGACCCGCCTGGTCTGTTCTGTTCTCGTGCTCCATTTAGGCATGCTGCATTCTGATTGGTTTGGATAGCATACTGTGGGTGGGGGGCGCGGAAAATCGTGCTATAAAGCGAATTAGAAATCGCACAAGCTCAAATCGCGATTTTATGACGATTTCGATTAATCGCACAGCCCTACGTGTGTTTCATATAATCCTTTCTGGATTACAATCCGCCATCAAAATTATTTTTTTTACATTTAATTATTCTAGCTGCTGTGAGAAAAGGCTATAAACGATCCTCCACCTGCAGGATCCTCACATGTGATA